TGAGCTTTAATTAACTGTTCATGTAGCTAATTAGCTCTTATAAAATATAACAAAACATATAACTATCCAGCTTTGATAGATCTAAGTGGCAGTAATTTACTGGAACCCCGAAGTATGTATGAAAGTTTGAGCAAGAGGGAGAATTTGAAACTACAAAAGTTGTGTTCTTTTACTGGGCCTCTTTGAGGCACTCAAAGAAAGCATAATGAAGTTCCAGTGGATAATTTGCGTTTAAATTCCTTTTTGCTGTTAATACTGTTGTGCAACGACATGTTAAAGTATTATTACGAAGGATATCTTAATATAATAAACCCGATAATCCGAACGCTTTAGGAAAACAATTGTTTGTTTGTTTTGTTTGTTTTTGAATTTCGCGCAAAACTACACGAGGGCTATCTGGGCTAGCCGTCCCTAATTTAGCAGTGTAAGACCGCCAACTCTTGGGCTGCTCGTTTACCAACGAATAGTGGGAATGACCGTCTGAAAGGGCGAGCATGTTTGGTGTAACGGGTGTAATGGGCTGCGTGTTTAGCGCCTAAATGTTGATTCACAACGAATTTCCGATCATTCGACTGTCCAATGTCTTCACGGATTGACTTATGGCTGGATATATATATATATATATACTTCGGCTCTTTCTAGGTAATAATATCTATATAGAAAGATTTCTAAACAATGTATAGCCAAAAAGCACATCCTTTTTCAAAGAAGTTCTTTAACGTTCTCCAAAGAAATGAAAACACTCGCATGGCAAATTTAGGAGAGCAATGGGCTCCAAAATCAAAACATCAAACCATGCAGGAGAAACGCTTTTGTCCGAAGAATGGAAGTTTAATTTACAAATCTACTTCAACTTCAGAACTGATAAATCTACTACAACTTCAAAACTGATAAATCTACTACAACTTCAGAACTGATAAATCTACTACAACTTCAGAACTGATAAATCTACTACAACTTTAAAACTGATAAATCTACTACAACTTCAAAAGTGATAAATCTACTACAACTTCAAAACTGATAAATCTACTATAACTTCAAAAGTGATAAATCTACTACAACTTCAAAACTGATAAATCTACTACAACTTCTATTAAATAAAACTTTATCAAAGTTGAATATATAGAAACAGAACTTTAAAATCGTTCAGAAATGTATGGATTAACTCTTCTTGCAGCCTATGAACAGAGTCAATTTAACTTTCGGTCAATGTTGTGTTTTTCTCTGTAGTTTTTAGGCTTCGTCACAAGCTTTCATTAGTCGAACAAAACTTACTTTTGGTATTTCTAATTGAAAAACAATATTCTATCCTATTTCATAATTACGGGTTGCCGCTAATAAAAACTTATAGGCACATAAAATAAACAAGTTTAAATGTACACTTTTGGACGCCATCTTGGAACAGAGGATACATGGGAGAAGTATACAAATCAAACTTGTCGAACCAGTTTCTTCTTGTTCGCCCCCCAGTGGCACAGCAGTATGTCTGCGGACTTACAACGCTAAAAACCGTGTTTATATACCCGTGGTGGGCACAGAACTGATAGCCCATTGTGTAGCTTTGTGCTTAATTACAAACAAACAAAATTCTTCTTGCTCCGATAATCGTTCGACATCTGACTTAATCCTGCTTTAATTCTCATATTCAGTTGATACATAGTTCTTTATATCTGAAATATTTGCAAGAAAAGTTCAAAAATCAGAGTTTATTTCAGGTTTTTTCTGTAGCAGATTATTAGGCCTTCTTGTAGATACGGCCACTGATCTGTTACGCAATTGAAAAATGCCCTCCTTTTGTGGGAACACTATTAATACGTTAAAAGTTTCTCAGTTCTGACACAAAAGTAGGTTAGTTTCTTAATTGTTCATAGTCGAATTATTCACTACCCTTTTGAACTTAAAACACCTTAAAATCCCATAAATATCTAAACACTGTAATCATTGAATAACAGTTTTAATGTTGCCCGGTTCTGAATATATGTGTTCAGCTAAAATTTACCTAAAATCTGAGTCTCACGTTGCAGAAACTTTCACATATTCTTTGGATAACAGTAACAGCTCCGTTTATTGCACCGCTTACTCTAAATGTTGTTGTTTTTTAGTGTAAAGCTTCACAATGGGTCATCAGTGCTCTGTCTACAGCAGGGGATCGAACACTGAGTTTTAGTATTGTAAGTCCTGAAACTTATCGCTGATCAACAGGAAAACTACTGTAAACATAATACGATGAAAACAACAAGAAACGATAAAAGAAAACAAATATATATCAAAGAGCCACCTGGTGGTTGAGCCATAAGCTTGAGGGCTTATAACGCTAAAAATCGGGCTTCGATATCTGCAGTAGGCATAGCGCAGATAGCCCCTTGTATAGCTTTACGCTTACAAAAAAAAACCCAAAGAAATACATCAAATAAAAGTGTGGATCCTACAGTTTTTATTTATAGATGTGACTGTGCTACATTTGCGTTAGCCAGTTATGTTAACTTTTAACTTTATGACTGTGAAAATTGTACAGATAATAACGTGAAATACACTTTTAAGTATATTTTTATCTGAAAAAAAGAACGAAAGCAAAAAAAAAATTAGGCATAAAAATTAATAATGAAGCTGGACGTGCGACAGGATAAAATGTTACAAAAAACTTGAAAGGTTATTAAAAGCATGGCCCAAGGCGTTAAAGAAGCAATCCAATTTGTTACGTCTCCGTTAATTAGTTAATTTTCCGTAAATTCGTTCCGACGAAACTTTAGCGACACAAGTCCTTTCTTAAATAAAACTGGTTTATTCTTGCTGAATATAACTTTGCGATACACTTAATTTCAACAGTCGCGCTATAACAAACACTATAATT